TCGTTTCCAGCTCAGATTTATATTGGAAGGTCGACTTGCCTTTTCTACCAATAAAGACTTTAACCTGGCCACCTCGGCCCTCAGCTCGCGGATGATCCTCGCCACGGGATCCTCGTTGACCACTGGCCGATTGACCACGCTCTGCACCCTCTGCGCGAATCGCAGCGTGTGCGCTGTCTCGTTGTAACTTCCGCTCGCCGGCGAGATCGCTAGAAGAAAAAGCCAAGCAATCGAGATCAAAACTTCGGCTTCTCGGTCGCCCCTTCTTGTTCTCGCGCGTGTTCAATTCACGCTCTACTCAATCCGCCTCTCGTTACCTGTTTGTTTAATCTCTCACTTCGTTTTTTTTCTTTTTCACTCCCCTCCCCTCCCCTCTCCCCGCTCGTAATTAATTTATTAAAACAGTGAAGAAAAACGAAGTGAAAGCACTCTCGTCTTTCAATCCAACGGGCGTGACGCACAGGGATTAATCGAATTTCAAATCTATCGACAGAGGACAGAGATTTAGGTTAGGTTTTGCTTAGGGTTAGGTTAGGCTTACTTTAATCGCGAGCCTGATTGTGAGATTTTCCTTCTCATCAAGATGATCGATCAAACTACATCTCAACAACACAGAATACGAATGAATAAATAATACGAAGATATTTTCATTATTTATTTATTTTAATTATTTATTTTTATTCGTTTATTTCAATTATTTCATTTATTCGTATTTCATTGTGTTGAATTGTTAGTGCACGTGTTAAAAATTTGACAGTAACTTCAAGCCTCCGTTTCATCGTGTGTCTGATAATTTAATAAAGCGCGGTACAACTCGAAACGCATTGGATCATGTTTCTTGCGTTCGTTATTGCGTTCTCCCTTCTTTCGGTGCGTTTTTTCCACACATTTACTCTAACTTTCTATTTTAAGAGCATTCAACGAACATCAATTGTGATCTAACATATCCTTCGTTGCTCATCATTGTCAGCAACATTTGCCTACAGGCGCGACAAGGGGTTAGTTTGCGGGACGCGGGCGAAGGAGAAAAAAAAAAAAGAAAAAAGACGAAGAAGAAGCAGCTTCGGATTTCCTTCCGGTCGTTCGAATATGAAGGAAAAACGGGAGGAGAAAACAGATCGCCGATTCCGACGGGATTTTTAAATCCGCGCAGCAGGTGTCACGCAGGAAAAGGGAGGAAAAGGCACGCGAGTATACATTATACACGCGGTCAACCATTAATGCAGACACTGAATATTAAACGTCCCTGTCCCTTTCCCTGCCCTCCCCCTCCGCCACGGGTTTCACAACCGGGTCGATAATAAGCCCCGAATGCTATTAGCAATTCAATTGGACGTCGATGATCATCGGTTTGGAATATTTCGCCGCGATTAATTATAACGCATCGCGGCCCCGGCCTACGAATATTCGCCGATTCTTCCGCTGCGCGCCCCTCCTCCGGACTGCGCTAATTGGCCAATCGTTTTTCCATCTGGATTCCGCCGATTATAAACCGCGTAGGACGCATTAGACGTGAATTTCCACCGGTTTTCAAAAATATTGGAATAATATTCGAAGAAGAGGCGGTAGCCGCGTTATTGTCCCGCCAGATGAATTCCCATTTATATAACGAAAAGATAGAGAGAGAGAGAGAGATCATAGGTGGAATGCAACAACGGCTGGACAAGTAGGGGAGTCGGTCCATTTTCCAGGTCGTCGTCATATGCGTTAATATACATTAATTAAAGAAAGAAAGAAAAAAAAAAAAAGGGAGAGAGGGAAAGGATTTCTGCGTGTCGATAAACTGGAAATTGCAAAACTGAAAGAATTTTTTTCAACTGGATCGAATCTCGGAAACTGTTTGACGCAGATAAAGAGCAGACTCGTGACAAGGCACTTTCGATCGGCAGAGTATTTTATTATGAAATTAATCGAGACGTTCGCGCTTTTTACTCCGGGAAACTGAATTGAGAAAACGTTGGCGCGGCCAACGTAATTCTACGGTTTTTACACCGCTCGCTCTATTCTAATGTACGAATGCTCGTGCGCAAAGAGTTTCCCTCTCACTCTGTACAGAGTGGAAAGAACAGTTTTGTCCATAGGTATCGCAAATGAATTCTACACCTTCGATTTCATGGAAATATATATATATAGAACCTGTCACAAAATTGACCCTTCACTCTGGACTTGACTTTCATAGTTAAAATTTATCGTTTTCTTTTTTCCCGTTGTATTCTACTCCACACGAAGGTAAAACTTTTCCAAGGAACCATAGGT